ACCTTGTTCATTAACGTGCAAAAGGTTGCAGGAGCATTGGTGAGACCGAAGGGCATCACAAGGAACTCATATGAACCGTAGCGTGTTACGCAAGCAGTCTTTGGTTCATCGCCTTTTGCTATCTGAACTTGGTAGTATCCGAACCGTAAATCTAACTTGGTGAACCACCTTGCACCGCCAAGTTGATCGAACAAGTCAGCAATCAATGGGATCGGGTACTTGTTCTTCACGGTGAGCTTATTCAAAGCTCGATAGTCGATGCACATTCTGAGTGAGCCGTCATGCTTCATTTGGAATAACACCGGTGCACCATAGGGGGACTTGGATGGTCGGATGTATCCGGCATCGAGGAGATCCTTTAATTGTTTGCGCATCTCCTCTAATTCGAGCGGAGCCATTCGATAAGGAGCCCGAGCGGGTGGCTTCGCATTCTCCACAAGCTCAATCTTGTGATCCACCTCTCTTTTCGGTGGCAAATGCTTCGGTAGCTCAGTTGGCATTACATCTCTAAACTTCACCAATACTTGTCCCACTTCAGTTGGGACTTCCTCGGTCAATGTGGGTTTAATTCCCACCAATGAAGCCACAAAGGTGGGTTCTTCTTTGCACACCCCCTTTGAGAATTGGATTGCGGACAACATCTTGGCCATGATTTCGGGCCCTCGGCTCACTGGAATAATGCATTGTTGCTTTTGGATCCAGGATGCACAAGCAATCGGCAAAAGGCACTGGGAAAGCATTTATTTGGTCCAAAAAACTTAACCCAAGAACAAAGTCGAAGTCATCGAGAGGGATTACCTTGATGGCTTTCTTTCCGGACCAACCTCCGACGGTTAGGTCGATTCCCTTTGCGACCCCCGCAATTGGAACTTCTTCGGCATTCACGATTTTGATGGATCCCGTTTCCTTCTCCACATGAAGGCCAAGTCTCTTGGCAATTTGTTCGGACATGAACAATTCTGAGGCACCTATGTTCACCAGTGCGCTCATCTTTTGGCCTGCGACGGTGATGTCTACGTACATCAATCCTTTCTTCTTATGGCCCTTCTTGACCTCCATGGTGCTAAGGATGGAGCCAAGATTGAGAGTCTCACTCTCCACCCCATCGTTCTCCTTGATGGCAGCAACTTTCACAAGTTAAGGACAATTTTTTTCATATGATTTCCTCCACTACTGAAGCACGCTAATTCCCCCTTCTTCTCCCAAGGATTGAAGAGCTTTTTGGGTCGATCATTCGGCTTCCCATGACTTCCCGTTGGCTTATGAAAGTTGCCTTTGGCCTTCTCTCCCACTATTACCCTTGGGTTTCGAGTTGGATTAGGGAGAGTCGGTCTTCTTTACTTCAAACGGGGCGATGGCCTCGGCTGCATCTAACACCTTGGAGAGTTCGGTCACTCCCCTCCTTTGGATCTCCATGTTGGCCCAACGTTGTAATCCATCCATGAATGCAAAGTATCCTTCTGACTCGCCCAAGTCTGGGATTTGCATCTTGATCTCCGTGAAGTTTTTGACATATTCCAAGATAGAACGATCGTGCCTCAATTGCTTTAGTTTTGCTCGAGCTTCGAGTACAGTATTTTTTGGATAGAAATGTTCATTGAGTTCTCCCACGAACTCTTCTCACGTTCCGATTGGATTCGTACTTTCGGAACACCTACGACGCCACCATAACATAGCAACATCGTTAAGATAATTGGAAGCAACATTTACCTTGGTGGTATCATCCTCGATACCCATGCCACGGAAGAATTGCTCCATGCCCCAAATGAAATTCTCCACATCTTGGGAATTTCGACTCCCCTTGTACTCCTTCGGCTTAGGGACGTCGATCCTGGGTCTTGGTGCTTGCGCCTCCCCAGTCACTCCATTCAACACGGCAGCCTTGTAGACGAACAGCTCGCTCTTGAGCTCCTTTACCTCCCGCATTATTTCGGCCCTCATGGCCAAGTACATGCTCTCGAGGCCTCTGGTACGCTCGTCTACGTTCTCCGTCAACTCGCTGATGAGTGCTTGGGTTTCTTCACGGAGTACATCCTCTACGGACTCCACCTTCTCTAAGCGAGATTCAACCGAGTCTTGAATCTCTTAGACTTCATTATATCGGTCTTCTAATCTACCGAACCTTTGCTCGAACGAGGCCACGATATCCTTAGAGCTCCCTCGTTTCTCTTTGCCATGGCAGCGCGAGTCTCCATCACTTTGCTTGTGGGGACCTCGTCTTGGTTGTATTGTTCCATTTCCCGTAGAACTAGCTCTGATACCACTTGTCACGCCCTTGGAACTTTGACGCCTCGGAACGTGCGGCCTTAGTCGCTTTCTTAATGATTGCGGCTAAGTAAGCCTGAAAATATCCCAAGCAAGGATGCTTAGAACCTCGACGGAAGCTAGACAAGAGAACTAGCACAAGAAGGAAGATAATAAAGCTTTGAGAGAAGAATACTCTTATGATTTCTCAAAGTGAAGGAGTGAGTACAAATGAGGAGGGGAGGCCTCTATTTATAGCTAAAGTTCCCCTCAATGAACGGCTAAGATCTAATTACATCGACGGTCGAGATTAATCTTTACCTACAAAAAACAAGTGAGCATTATCTATACAAATTTAAATGCCACCTAAGTCTTTGTGGCTTCTAGAAGGTCCAAACCCCCATTTGGGCTACTTCTCATGGGCTAACCTCGGTGGTGGGCTTTGGTCCGTGACATTATTCTATAGATAAAGATGGACATATGCATAAATAAATATTCATAATATTCCCTTTTGAATATTTATGAAGATAATGTGTATCGTTAAAACTTACTAGGACCCTGTTTGGGATTGCTTTTGCCAGCTTAAAATCATTTATTCAAGCAAAAGTAACCTTAAATAAATGCACTTTTAACTAAAATTTGACGTTTCAAACGAGATTTTAGATCCAAACTCAAAAGTTGGGATTTTGAACCTTTTGAGATTGAAAATCTCAATTGGGTTGGAAATATCAATTTTAACATTCATTAAATGGGTGGGATGTACTATCTGACAAATAATAAAAGCTTATTCTATAAATAAAAAAAGGATTTTTTTTCTTCGTCTCACATCTTCTTCTTTACGGTGGGGGAGGTTGTTGTGCAAAATTCAAAGAAACAAGTACATATATCTTGTATGTTTTTGTATTATTTTTATATATAAAAATATTATTAATGCGTTATCTTAAAAAAATTTATATTTTTATTATAGTTTAAGTTGATATATTTCAAATATCATAGTATTAATAAGTGCAAATATAATTTAAATGTTATATTTTTTAATTTACAATACAATATCTAAAATGGACATTTTGTCTTTTTAAAATCAATTTTTAACAGCAATCCCAAACAATTAATTTTTGAACTGCACTTTTTAACACTTTCAATGGCAATGCCAAAAAGGCCCTGAAATAAAAGTCATGTGAAAAAAAATTTAATGAAAGAAAGAGAGTACACATATATTAAATATGCATAACATGTTACTTCATTAAAAACCTTATCAGGAAAACCTTATGGGACAAAACCTTAGTTAAAAGAAAAGGAGTACAACACGTATTTACTCCTCCTAATGACAATATAACATAAGATCGTTGAGTATTACAATTTAATATTTGAATACAATCTTTAAATGTTCAAGTAAAGATCTTTCAAATTACCATTTAAATGGATTCGTCGAATATTCATATTTCTATTCTTTTGAAGATCTCGTGGGAGGAAATTTTAGGGAAACATATTTTATATGATGTATTCTCTTTTCGAATGAGCTATACATTTATCTTTGTGCAAGATAGTTGACATATTATCACGTAGAACCAATTCTCATATCTTCTGGATATGTTGGGTTAATAGTTTTATCTAAATATTTTCTCGACCTATCTTGTGTATAGTAATTATCTATAGATCATTTTATAAGCATCAAATAATGTTTGAATATTTAAAGGTAATGATCTTGTAATACTTAGATAGTGCTTTTGGTCCAACTAAAATGTGGTGCTTCTAAATCAACTAAGATATAGTGATTATAAACCAACTAAGATTTGGTACTTCAAGACCAAGGATTTATTCATACATTGACAATCTTTCAACCATTGGGAGTACTCTATAGTTTTATTCATATTGAATCTCTTTAATATCCTTTCAATATGTTTCTATTCATAGACAAAATTCATATTTAAGTACTTGATTTACAAATCGAAAAAAAAAACTTGATTTTAAAATTTGTATTTCAAATATTCTCTTTAAACAAATAAGATGTTTTTGATGCTCTTTAAAAAATTTATTTTGAAACTCTTTAGGAGTTCCAATTCAAATTATATAATAGTTATCATAATTTGATATTGATGTCTTTATAAAGATACATGAGTAAGTAAGCTCTCATCGATTCGAAGGTACCTTGTAAATTTGGATTGATTAATTTCATCTAAATATTTAATCAAATATATTTTTAGAAATTTCCAATGAATTTTCAAATGCTTCTAGCATTTTGATCATTTGGAGATAAATATCATTATATAAGATTTTCTAAATTGTATTTTATATCTTACGACTAATCATTTATAATCCACTTGTATTACACATTTAGGGATTTAAAAGAGAGGGAGAGAGGGAGAGAGAGAGAGAAAAAGAATGGAAACCGTAGATATTTGTCAATTGAATTTAGAGTTTAGGTATGAGGATGATTCAAATCGTATTTTATATGTACGTATAATAATTTATAACCCACTTGTATTTCACATTTGGAGAATTTTTTTAAAAAAAGAAAGAAAAAAAAGAGGAAAAGAGAGAATAAAAATTGAATCCGTAGATATTCGTCGATTGGTATCCAAATCTAAATCCAAGGGGGTAAAAACACTGGTAAAAAAGAAGTAAAATTAATATTGAGAAAAAGAGAAGTAATGGGAAATTGGAATGGTTAAAAAAGAGGTACCCTTGGACATTCTTGAGGGTTTGATTTAATCTGGATAAGGCTTTCTTTGTTATTCATGGTTTTGTTATTCCTTGCTCCTCTCTCCTTTGTTATTTTCCTTTTCTTCTTTCAAACCCCGTTTTGCAAAAAGTTTTCTGAAATAACAAACAATTTTAAGTTTGGGAAAGTGTAAGGAGCGGACACTGTTTCATTTCACTAGCAAAACACAATATTCATCTTCTCCGCTTAATACAATAATCGAAACTCAGTTTAATGGGAACCCTGAATTTTTCCCATGTCCCTCAAATGGGATTTATGAAATACCCCCAACAAAAACAGAAGAATCTTGAGCTACCTAGTACTGTCACTTGTGGGCTTAGAGGAGGAACAAGGAAACCCTTGTGGAAATCACGGGTGCTTTCCACTGAAGCCATCCAAGCTGTTCATTCCCTCAAGTTAGCCAATTCCGATTCCAAATTACACCATGTTTTCTCCACCAGGCTTTCCAGGTTACTCAAAGCTGACCTTTTGGACACTTTGGCCGAGTTACAGAGACAAAACGAATTCCCCTTAGCCCTCAAGGTGCCCCTTTTTACATCTATGTTTTAAAATATCTCTTGAACTGCCTAGATGAATTGGGAGGAACCCCTTAAAGCTATATGTATTATCATTAATCTTCATGCTTAAATGTTACTTTTATTTTGCTTTTCAGTTTTTTATACTGGTTTAGGTCTTTGAATTGAAGTGGAAGAACCTTTAAATCTATATATATTAGGATTTGTTTTCATGTTTAAATTTTGACTTTTCTCTTGTTTTCCAGTGTCTGCTTTGTGGGTTTTTAGTTGAAGTGATGTCAGGGTTTAGGAGTTTGAATAGAAATGGAAGTAACCCTTTGAAGCTATATGTATTGTAATTCATTTTCATGCTTAAATTTAAACTTTTATCTTGATTTTCAGTTTTCAATTATGGGTTTTTAGATGTAATGTTGTCAGATTTTAGGTTTTTGAATTGAAATGGAAGGAACCCTTTAAATTTGAATTTATATGAATTATGATTCGTTTTCATGTTCAAGTTGTAACTATTATCTTGCATTTCAGTTTTCAAATGTGTTTAGGTCTTTGAATTGAAATGGAAGGAACCCTATTAATCTATATTGATTATGATTCATTTTCATGCTTAATTTATAATTTTTGTCTTGATTTTCAATTATGGTATTTTAGCCGAGATGATGTCGGGATTTAGGTTTTCGAATTTGTGAGGAAGGAAGTATGGTACAAACCAAGCTTGTCTTTGTACTGTGACATAATTAAGCTGTTGGGAAAGAACAAAATGACTGAAATGGCTGAACAACTTTTTGCTGAACTAAAAGAAGATGGCTTGAAACCGAATACAAGGGCATACACCGAGTTGATTGGAGCATATTTGCAAGTCGGTTTGATCGAGAAGGCGATGGAGACATATGACAGACTCAAGGCATCTGGTTGTTTCCCAGATAAGTTAACCTTCACAATTTTGATTAGAAACCTCGAGAATGTGGGGAAAGAAGAGCTTGCAGCGGTTTTAAAGAAGGATTGTAATGAATATCTGGATTACCCTGAGAGATTCCTCGAAGATGTTCAAAAGAAACATGTATGAGTATCCCATTTCCTTTGTACTTAGTTATATATATATATATATGTATGTGTGTGTGCGCGCGCGCGCGCGCGTGTGTACGTGCCTCATATATCTTGCAATTGAAACTTATGAGTGCATTTATAAAACTATGTTTTTCTAATGGTGATGCAAGGAAGGGAAATCATTTAGGAGAAGCTTAGGAAGAAATCTCTTACCCCATTTGTTATTTGAAGATCACATGATACCGGAGAAAGAACATGTAACCAAAAGCTCTAGATGTTTGGTAAGAGTGGAAAGAACATGATGTAATATTAGGACAGATTGGACATCATTTTAGGTTATTGTCCATGAGAAATTAGGCTTTGCTTGAAATGGATGTCGTCGAGAGAAGAGTGAAAAAAATGATGTTTTCATTCATGCTTGGTTACAGAGAGAAGTGAGGAGACAGTATTGCTGTTGATAGGAGGATTGGGCTTGCACGTTGATTAATATCATTACGAATACGGACTACCGTGTCATTGCTTAATGTATTTGATAAATTTGTAGTATTTTTTAGGCGGATTTTGCTTTTCAAAGTGTCTGAATTGCTTGCTTTTCTGTTTCAGTCGAAGAGGCAGCAACTGGATCTTGTTTGACAATTTGCAGTCCGAAGGTGACGGAGGTCGTGGCACCATTAGTGTAGATTCAAGCTTCAAGCAAGCATGACCCGGTCCGGCTCGGCTCTCATATGAGATGTCGTTTGAAGATTTTAATTAATGCGGATGGACTTGTGTAGAAAAGTTGTTCTCAATCAACCCCACTCCTGATTTTGTGTATCTGCTCAATGTTTTGGGTTGAAGTTAGGATTCATGGTCTTGATCAACATCGCCCATACTTTGTGTCTCTGTATGTTATGTAGGAAGTGTATCAAGAACAACATTATAGATTAATTGCTTGATTTATGTGTTTTAACAGATTGAATTCTGATGTTGTCGAAGAAAAAAATGCCCTTATACACACACATGCATGCATGCTTGAAGAGTAAATTGCAGCATCATATTTTTTTTTACCATGCCCAGATATGTGCTTGGCTAATTGCTCATTACTATAAAGCCTTAATGATTCCTTAGACTCGGTAATTCAATTGTAGTAATGCAAAGCTCTTCAACAAGATCCTGATCTATACATATAGAGGTGTAAATGAACTGAAATTGAACGAATAAAGTTATGTTTGTGTTCGTTTGTTTATTTTTGAATGTGTTCGTGTTTGTTTATCTTTTTTTTTCTAAAGGTATTCATGTTTGTTCAGAATTCACGAACATATTCATTTAGCGCTCGCAAACATATTATTTTACGTTAGTGAACATATTTGTTTAATGTTCGTGAATATGTCTGTTTAATGTTTGGAAACCAACACTCTCTTTTTACTCCTTTATTTGCAAGTTAAAGAAAGTAGTAAAATTACATCACTAGTCCTTAAGTTTCTTAGATTTTACAGTTTAAACTCCAAAGTTCACCTATAATTAATTTAGTTTTTCTTTTCACCAATATTTAAAATGTAAAAAAAGAAGAAGGAAAATTGAGTAAACAATATTATAAAAAAATTTATAAATGAGTCGAGAAATGAATTTGTTAATGAACATAAATGAACCCAAAAGTTTCTAATTTTTTCCATATAAATTATATATATATAATATAAAAGAAAAATGACAACCCTTTTAGAAAGGTTTTGACATCATTTGAAAAAGAAACTGACCCCATATTTTAAAAATAATTTAACAATAAAATTTTAAAATTCAATTTTCTCATTTTACTTTTTTTTTCATATGATTTTTAAATTTGACATCCCAATTTTTTTTAGTTCCATCCCTGAATGAATCGAACACACCTATATTCATACCATTCGTTTATTAAATGAACATAAAATTTTATTCATATTTATTTATTTATTTTTATTTAATTTAATAAACAAATGTTTTGTTCATTTACACCTCTATATACATATGAGTAGTTATGTCAAACATGTTGGTCGGGTTAAGAACTGGCATGACTATGTCCGAATAAATGCAATGGGAGTGAACGTGTTTGTACTCGCAATGGCCTTGTCTATTTCAGCATAGGACCTTTTCTTCTCTTTGCAACGGTGGTATGAAGTAAGACCAACAAGAACAAGACAATTAACAATATTTTCCATATGCCACCATTATGGATTGGTTCAAAAATTATTATCTGAATACACAAACACCGTTCTCTTTAAGATCTATTGATGAAATTCAAAACTTGTTATGCAAGGAAAAGTGTTCTTTCTTACTTTCCAAGGTTGACGTGTATTACATGTAACCTATGTTACCCAGAGTCATAATTTTCCCTAAAGTTATTTGTATTCATTAACTGTGGCCGACACATATTTGAACATGGACCTATGAAACCTCCAGATAAATAAAAAAACCTAGAAAAACATGTTCATGCCTATCTGAATCACTTTTATCAACAAACAAAGAGAGTTTAAAAGAGAGGAAAATCGAATAAATAAATAACATTAAATATAGGCTCAACTAGCTAAGTGGCTGGGAGACTTGTTAAACATACTGTGCCATACATAAGCCCTAGAAAGTACGGTTTCAAGCTCTTGGCATGTCCAGTTTTGAGTTGGAAGGCGTTGAAGGAAGAATACCATCTCCTGGAAGTCAAGCTTTTGAAGTTTATCTGACCACTGAAACATATAGGACAAAGCATTCATCAATCAGGGTTTTGCCAGTTTTGTTGCGATTGTGAACAATCATGACGAGGAAAATGTTTGAGGAGGCATCTGGCATTAAAGAATCATTAAAACAAAAAGAACTGCAATTGAATGGTTAGGTATAACAAAGTAAACCTCATCTATGTTGATCAGGCTCTTTCATTTTGCTTGAAGTACACGAGTCAATGCATATTAGGATATGGGTATGGGACATGACACACCAAGGAACATACCAGTGTTGACGTATCCAATACTCACACCCAAGTTCGTGTAACATAGAAGCTTATCAGCAGAAAATGGAAAAGTTGCAAAGTGTTGTTCCTTCTGAACCATGCAGAAGCGAAGTTCAAAGTTGAACATTCTAACATAAATGATGCATGTAAACAGGCTGACTCAGCAATCTAGGAAAACAAGCAAGACTATAAATTTGAATAATGTAAATTTGTGAGAATACAAGCTTTTAGGCATATGAAGTAAGCCGTAAGAGATGCTCACTTTTAGTTTGATGTCCTCAATCCAATATCTTGCCCTTTGTCATCATCTATGTTACTCGGACTAGGGTGTCAGTGTCGGATATGGATATGTTCAAAAAATTTTTCTTCTGTTTTTCCACATATTTCAAAGGTACTTGGATATGCCCATACCTATGTCTAGATATGCATCAGATATCTGTTGGACATTGGTACTTCAAGAAAAATGAAGTCTCGGAAAACATAAGCAATCATCATCTTTGTGACAAAAGAAATGGTGATTATTTCTCTATTAGATAAGGAAAAGAAAGAACATACACACACCGACAAACATCATTTTAATTGAACAATTACCAAAGTTGAATCTCCTTAAGGTTGCAAAATGCAGTCAAAGATGAAAGCTAGTAAAACAGTTCAGCACAAAGGAAGCTAGAGTGCACACCGTTAAAAGAAAACTGGCAAATATGTAGACAAGGAAATCTCGCAGTGCATCTCCTTCAGCAAGATACGTGTCCAATAGACAGGTTACTAGATGAAAAGGAATCTATTAAACAAACAAAATAAATAAATAAAAGTCGGAGCATTTGGTCAATCATACATAAAAAAATTGAAATGCAGGATAAACCAATGAATGTGGGTAATGCAATGAGACCTTACCTCACGTATAAGCAACCAGTTGAACCAGCGAAAAGCAAATTGAAGATATTCAAGTGCTTGGTCCTCCATATGTCTATAAACAGGTTCTGGTACACGTTAAAGAACAAAGAAGTTAATAAGACAAAGAGATGAAATTAGAACATGAAAACATAAACAAAAATTTATGTCAATATGAAAATTGCAAACACATTATATAGGGGAATATTACATAAGGACATAACATCTTTCTTTCCATCATAACCAAACAAAGAAAGTACCCAAACACAGCCCCCCACCCCTTTCAGCCACACACAATAAAGAGTAATAATAATAAGCCGGTTCTTTTTCTCTAACATCAAGAAAAAGGAAGTGCTGCACATGCATTCCCATCCTCTTGCTTTCTTAGGAACTATTATGAAACAAAATTTGCTTGGTAAATGATGACTTAAAATCCCTTCATAAAGCAAAAAGTGGTTGAACTCATAAAAGGAGAAATTTTAGGGAGAGAAATGAAAGGTCTCTATAGAGTTTACCATCAATGCGCCTAAACAACTCCTTCAGCTTAAATACAAGCCTCTGGATTCCCGGTTGAGCAAATGTGTAATGGTCTTTCATACCATCAAGCAACTTTGATAAGCACCAGTAGCAATCAGCTTCTATGTCGGATATCTTCTCAAAAGGCATATCAGACATTGACCAACTATCTATGCTCCCTCCAAAGTACTCCGATAAGAAAACAACTAGAAAGGGCGTTACAAGATCATTTATCCCCTGCACATATCCACTTGCAGGATGCCGAATGGCCCTGCACATGAAGTTGAAATGCAGCATCAGTTACCCACAAAACAACACCAGTATCTCAAAAGTTGCTTCTAAGAAAACATAAATCAACGTCAAAAAACTGGACTAGAGGCCAAACTGGTCAGACCTCCGTTCCTGGTTCAACCAGGCAATTCAATGTTTCCTTGAGTTTTTAATGTTTAAATACTTTAAACACTCAATTTAATTTAAAATTAACTATAAAAGTAGTTAATAATTAAACAATAAAATGCATTAAGATTAGTATTAATATCTTAGTATAAACCAGGAGATTAAAAGTGTATATCTCAAAAATTACAAATAAATAGAAAACCAGCATTTTACCATCCAGTCCGGTGTTTTAGTGGTTGAACAGGTTTATATAATCAAACATTTCATAATTAAAAACCAAAGTACTACATTTAAAAAAATATTGAGTTTTGCATAAGAAAGCAATCAATAATTGTGAATTCATCAACTCAAATAGTATCTTACCACGTATAAAGAATGCGCTCCATGGATTTTTGAACTTGAGCTTGCTGAAAGAAAGCCACATCAGGTACCGTCCTGGGACAATCAACAGCAATTTAACGAACAGAATAGACAGAGATTTTAAATCAAGCATAGAAAGCCAACAATCAAGTTTGAGAATAAAATAAGGGTAAAGGTACCTGGCGAAGCATACTAATCTCATCAGCTGACCGTTCAGTGTCAGGAATGTCATAAAATTGACCAACACAATCAAGATACTCAACGCGTTTCCTCCTTAGAGCTCCCTCCCTTCTATCTGAATTAGCTGGCGCATATCCCTGTTGTCAGTTCATACAATTTCAGACCAGTAACCAAATTTATTTAATAAAGACAATCTGGTAAAATATTAGTTAACCCAGAATATTTAATATGAGACATGCAGATTTTTTTTGTCTAAAAAGTGGCTTCAATGGTACCATTAATTGGAATACAAAGTCAGCAAAACAATACAACAAAAGGAAAGCCAGCCCCCATAAGATATTGCATTTGGAACAAACAAAAACCAAATAACTCCTAAAACTCTCTAGAAGGTTAGGAGCTTTTGGGGATCCCATTAGTTCTCAGGTGTGTTTCCATCGTCCGCCGACGCTAATCATCATTGACCGCCGTCCGCCGCCATACTCCGGTCATCTTTCGCCGCCATTTTTCTCAGGGAAGTTCATCTCGTCACTGTGATTCTACTTTCGAACTTAGTTTTGCGAAAAAAATCCTTCAAACGGCGCAGATCTACCGTTGAAGGTCGTTTCTTCATTTTCGTCAGGGACTTTTGTAGACCGTTCTCTCGACACCGCTGGCAACAAAAG